TCCTATGAAAGGAGGCTGCTGTGATCCACTGGCCAGAATGGAGTCATCACACACTTCTACAAATAGGGAAACTGAGGCACAGAAGCAACTCCTCATTTGGGGTCACAGAGCCAGGGTCGGGACCACAGTTAGCACTCGCTATAGCCTGGCTGCCAGCCCTATGATCAGGACTCTGGCATGTTCCTCTCCCCCCCTCTGCCCTGGGGTTAGAATTCAGGCTACGCTTCCCAAACCATCACAAAACCAAAACCGTCGTTTTTGCCAGAAAACTGAATTTTATTTTTATTAGTGTCACACAAACTTTTCCCGATCACAACACGGGAACAGAAAGGGGGAAGGAGTACAGGGGCCCGTGCTGCTCTCTCCCCCCTTGACGCAGGGGCTCAAGAACGGGGTCAGTCAGGAAAGTAGCTAGTTTTGTGGATATTATAAAAAGGGGGGGGGAGGGGACAAATATCTGGAATCATTTAAAATATAAGAGCTGGTCAGAGTGGGATGTTTAATGAACTTCCAAACATACAGGCCCAGGCCCTGAAAGTTATCGGTGAGGAGCTGGGCTGCAGACAAACAGAGCCAGGGACTGCGAGAGCCCATCCAACCTTTACCTTGGAGGGACCAACACACACAGGAAACTGGAGATTCTGGGCAGCCAGTTGTGGTTATGAAGAGACACAGAAGTAGCTGGGTGTTCAAAGGCGCTGGGCACCCACAGGTAACGTTTTCCCGGGATCTACGATTCCGCCACCTCCCTGCGGTTCTTCCACCGTGCCCCATTAAAGAGCCGAGCAGGAAGGTAACGCCGAGGATGCTGGGATTCCGGGCACGGCGCGGCAGAGGCCATCTTGCGTGTCGTCCAGCAGCAGGACGGACCGCAGGAGCACCCAGCGCTGCTCTGCCGCCACCTGGTCAGTCTGTGGGAGCTCCAGATGGGAAGCGGCGGCGGCCCCCCACGTTCACCGCCTGCTGCTCGCTCTCGCTGTAACTTGAGAGCTCTCGGCGCCCCGGCCGCGGAACCCAGAGGCTGAAATTTCCTCGAGGAAGCTGCCAAGCAGAGAGTCAAAGTTAGTGGAACCCAGAGCCAGTGTTTCATTCTCCAGGCAGATAGTGCCTGATTTTGAGCCTTCCCTGCAGGCAACGAGCGCCCTGCAAGCTCCGAGCCTACTCTCAGTACCCCGGGATGTCCCCACCTTGCATCTGGAGAAACTGAGGCACAGAGAGGGGCCGGGACCTGCCCAAGGGATAGAAGCCAGGAGTCCCAGCTCCTACGGTCATGCTCAGTCCCCCAGACAATGCCCCACCTCACTAGCAGGTTTCCGCCAGACGTGCTGCTTCCTCTCCAAGGGGGAGGCCTAGAAGAGCCGGGTCAGTGGGCGGAAGGGGGAGAACAGGTGGGCATTGGCAGTTGCTCAAGGTTTGTCTTCACTACGGAGTGCACCCAGGCCTGGGCTTGCCAAGCTAGCCTGTGAGCGCCTCCGCTACTCGTGCATCCCTGGGGCCGGCAGGGACACAGGTTTGGCTCTAGGATTTCTGGGGGTGTCAGAGAGGAGTTATGCAGGGGGGAGATCATAGCAGCTTTCTTCCCTCTCCTATAATGGGCCTTGGGGATTTAACCCTGGGCACACTGAAGTGCAGAGTGGGGGTGAGGGTGCACGCACTGCCCACCTGGTTGCATACACCAAGTACCACGCCAGGCCTGGGGACTGACTGCCCTGACGACCAGCCCGCGGAGCAGAACCAACTGATGCTTTCACTCAGCCCAGCCGTTCAGAATTAAAACAGCAGGGCCCTTCTCCTCCTCCTCCTCCTCCTCCCAGAGGAGGGCTCAGGTCTCTCTCCTCCCCCAGGCAATGAACCACAACACCGCCTGATCAGGGCAGCATTTACTCATCTCCCCGGTTCTGCCCCTGCTCTCCCTTGCCAGGATCCACTCGCTCAAAAAGCCAGGAAGCCACTTGCTCTGGTTTTTCCCCGAGCAGCTGCTGGAGCAGAAAGAGGCGAGGGTTGTAACCTCCGGCTAATGCTTCCTTGACATTTCACGCTAGGGGTTGGCGGGGTTCCTGCAAGGCGGGCCCTCTGGCTTCTCACTGCTTCTCAGCTCCCTTGCCAGCCACTCGGCCGGACTTAGACACAATGCAAGGGTCTCTTTACTTCCCGGCATTCACAAGTCTATGCGTTCAATTGAGAGATCATTGGTTTAGATTTAAATCGTGTCCAGACTCCTTGGGAGCCCTGATAATTAATTCAACTGCAAGTCCCATTAGACAGAAGGCCCCAATTTGGCAAAGGGTTTAAGCACGTGCTTAAATTTATCCTTAGTGGGTACGGATGGGATTGGCAGGGGAGCTTAAGGGAGTTTAGATTCCAAGGGCAGCTGAGTGCCTAAATCTCTTAGGCAATGTTAAAAAGCCCCAGACTTAAGTACACACTTAACTTTAAACATGTGCTGAAGTGCCAGTGAAGCCAGTGAGACATCAGCAGGCACCCGAGTGCCTCCAGAGTCCAGGACCATTAAGCCAGGCTCATTAAGTGATCACATGCAGATGAGTAATTAACAAACCTGGCCATAAATCAAAATGCTTTCCACTCCCCGACCCCAACACAGCCTTCAGCCTTTCCCCAAACCCTGCCAAACAAAAAGCGTAGGGAGCCCACCCTCATTACTGCGTGCCCAGATATCACGATGACGGTATAAGAATTTACACGGAGCAGAGTCTGCAAATCAGTGACCCGCTCCTTGGAGAACCTACCCGCCAGAGGCCAGCTCCTGTGAAACGCACGTGGTTGCCCCCCACAAGTAATCTCTGTGAAAGGAGCTTGCGATGCGAAGGCTGGGGTGGCGTGTTAGTATAATAATCTTCTGGGGAGACGGCGGCTCCCCCTGAGCGCGTGAGTTCAGGACTCCTGGGTTCTACTCAGGGCCGGCTCCAGGCACCAGCTTGTCAAGCAGGTGCTTGGGGCGGCCGCTCCGGAGGGGGGCGGCACGTCCAGGTATTCGGAGGCAATTCAGCGGACGGTCCCTCACTCTGCCTTAGAGTGAAGGACCTCCCGCCGAATTGCCGCCGCAGATCGCAATCGCGGGTTTTTTGTTTTTTTGGTTTTGTTTTTGGCTGCTTGTGGTGGCCAAAACCCTGGAGCCGGCCCTGGTTCTATTCCTGCCCCTGACTAGCGCACGCCCTTGGCCCATGACTTCCTCCCTCTGTCTCTCAACCTGCCCAACTGCACAGCAGGGGATAAAAGCTACCCCTCTCGCAGGTTGCAGAGAGTTGGATTTTCTGAAGTGCTTGGTAATGGCCCGACTCAGGGTAAAACTCCCGTCGGTTTGGACAGGAGCAGAGTTGGGGCAAGGTGGAGCACTTTTAAAAGTCCCGCTCTTACTGCCTGCAAAGCGCTGGGAGAGCTGGTCGTGGGCAGGGAATTCACGGTTATCAAGCACGTCGAGGCGTTACCGTTGAGCAGTGTTTGTTGTAGTGCCTCGTGCTCCCGGCTGAGATCAGGCCCCACTGGGCCAGGTGCTGCTTCGAGGAGTTGGCAGTTTCACCCCTTCTGTGATCAGACGGTCCGAAGAGGCTGGGATTATCCAAACGCCGAAACGCACCCCTGCTGCCAGTGTAAAGGTTTGCTCCTGTTGGGAGCATGGAGTCACTTAGCAGCTGGGAGAAGGCGTAGTTGGAAGAGGAGGTTGCAGGGGGTGTGTTAGCAGGAGAAGCAGGGATGTGTGAATGTGGGTGCTTGTTAGAGCCAAACGGAGATTGTCTGCATTAAGGACCCAGTCAGGCAGCCTGACCCATCACAAATCACAGGGAAACTTAATCCGGACGAGCGCACGTGAGCGAGAGGCTAAACCTTAGGAACACATTGGTTTAAATACGTCTCAAAGTGGTTTACGGGTTGGGGCTTTAATTCAATCCCTTCAAGAAAAACAAACTCCCAAAGGATAACGGGCTAAAGCCACTTGCATTGTTTTTGATTCATTGTCGGCTCCTGTGGTATCTAGAGGCAGTGTGGTCCAGTGGGAAGAGCACTGGACCAGGACTCCTGACACTTGCATTCTGCTTCCACTTAACCCAGCCCATCATAATTAAAGAAGCAGGCATCTCCGCCCCAGCAGGCCTGGGTTCTGTTCCCAGCTCTGCCACTGAGCTGCTGGATGACCTTCGGCAAGTCACGTCCCTGCTCTGTGCCTCAGTTTCCCCACCCATCTTTTATTACCATCCCTTCGAGGCAGGGCCTGTGTCTGTGCAGCACCTGGCCGATGTGGCCCTGGTCTCAGTAGGGGTCTCTCACACTACACCAATATAAATAACTATAGCACCGCGTTGCATCTGGATTGAGGACTATCCTCCCAGCCCCCATATGAGGCAGGGAAGGAGCGTTCTCCCCATTGTACAGACGGGGCACAGAGAGGGGAAGTAACTTGGCCAAGGTCACACGGCACGCAGTAGCAGAGGTTTGATTAGAACCCAGGAGTCCGGCCGACCAAGGCCCTTGCTCCAATCTTGAGACAACACTGCCCCCAACGTAGGTAAGGCAGGAGAAGAATCGCATGATTGGGTTGAAGTGCTGAGCCGGGAACACACCCCTTTAGCCCTGTATGTCCGCATGAGCACAGATGCGGCCAGAGGCCGAGCCGATGTACATCAGTGTTGCCCCGCTCAAGCCAATGGACTGACACCAGCTGGGGATCTGGCCCCACCGACTCCAATGGAACGATGCCCATTTACACCGGCTGGGGATCTGGCCCGGCACAGCCTTTGTGAAGCAGCTCGAGTTTTGAAAACAAAAGGGACGCCCCCCTGTAAGATCTAATCAGGACCTGGGCTGCATGGAGGATGGTTACGCACGCAATGTTCTACACCGTTACCAGGCTCTGGGTTGATTCATTCCCTCAATGCGCTGATCAAGTTACTTTCAGTGTTAAAGTCCCTTTAAAAAAAATAATAATCAGGTGACACTGCAAAACAAAACAAAAGTCCTGTGAAATGTTATTTCCCCCAAAATAGATCGTCAGAATCCGGGGCTGCCTGCCAAGGTGGTGAATCATGAGGCTTTGAAATCAAGCACCAAACCAGATGCAAATGCCTGCACCATTTTAAGCCCTGCATTCTGCAGCGGGTAACGTCCCGATTGACGGCGAGGAGAGCCGGGCCCGCGCACGCGGTGGCCGCTCAGTTCTTTGAATGCAGCTGTAAAGTTCCGCCTCCCCGTTTTATTTTTAGGTATTAAAGGCAGCAGATGGAATCCATAACAAAACCACAGGGAATGACTTGCTTTTCAGTTTAAAGGGGACTCTTGCTCGTTAGCTTTATCTCCAGGAGCTGGATTCACAATCTTAACTCGCCTTCATGCCAAAAGGGGCCAGAACTGGCCCCTTGGGAATCTCCCCATGGAGTGGCCCTCCCCAATTAGAGTGGAGCTGATGAGGGTCCTGCTCCCAGCCCCCGCAACAGAGGGTGGATCAGGGGCACAGCTACCGTGCAGTGTGCTGTAGCTATCCTCCACTTCCCCGGGGAATCAGAGAGCAACTCGGAGCAGCCTTGAGGTTGCTCTAACTCCTACTCCAATTTATACGGGAAGCCAGGTGGGCCTCTGCCCAGACCAAGAATACAAGGAGCACAAAGGAGTCGTGAAGCCCCAGATACAGGAACAAAGTGACTGAGAAGCAGGTGCCTGTATCTATAAAGATCAGAAGCCCGGTAAAGATCAGGAAGCCGAGAGCTGGGCAAAGCTCTGCCCAGTTCACGTACCCCTAGCCACACGTTTACTCCTACATCCATGTAGCTAGCACGGGTAACCAGCCGCCAGCTGCATGTTAAAAACCACATTAAGCACCAGATACTTCTTGTATCCACGCAGCTCGAGCTATGGGAGCTCTGCTGAGTAGGGACACCCTGGCTGGGGAGTGGCACATGGAAAACAACAGGGCTATTCCTGTAACTGGGTAACTGGGTCACCCTGTACATTCCCTGGGATTAACCGCAGCAGGATTGTGTTTAACCTGCGCCCTGGACCTGTTGGCTCCAAAGCCGGATGTTCCTACCACCCCTCTCTCTCTCTCCTCTTTTTAACCAAATATCTGTTCTTTCCCCGCCACCTCCGGCGGCCCTGAAACTACCAGTCCAAAGCACACAACTCTCCAGTGCTGGAAAACAGCCTTATGGCTCCCTAGCAAAGGGGTCAACCCTCCCTGTGAATTTCGTTAGGGGGTGGGGGGAAATGGCTCTCTCCACCCGCAGCCCAAGGAAAGGGAGGGGGAAGGAACGGTGATGGCAGACCAGGGTTTTAACTGCCCTGGTGCAGTTTCCTCTTCCTGAGGTGCTAGGCAAGTTCTGAGAGCTGCAGGGTGTGGGCAGGTTTGCACAGAACAAGCCAGCAGAGAAATTGGTCAGGTGGGCGTGGCGGAATTGAACAGGTGACTCAGTAGGGGGCGCTCTTCCGTCCCAGTCAGAACTGACCCCAGTGGCCCAGCGTGGGATTAGGGGGTGCGGTGCTGCAGGACAGGGCGAGGGGGAGTCACTCGTGGGGGGCTCTCTTTGGAGTCAGTGCGGACTCCAACGCTTGAGCATAGAGGTACGATGGAGCTGGAGATGCAGATTTTTGGAAATGAGGGAAAGCCATTAGCACATAGATGGGAACAATTCTAGGGAATTTCAGTATGAGACAGGACATTAGACTCCAGCATCCTGGCCAAATTCCATGTCAGGGAACTCCATTCTAGTGGACTTCTCCCCCATTTCAATAGTGTTCCACATTTCACTGCACGCTCAACACTGTTGAACAGCATTGCAGGTGGCTGTTAAACAGCTGCCACATTCCACCCCAGAGGTGGCTGCCTTTCAGTGACGAGCGAAGGACTCTTGTGTACATGATAGAGATACAGTTTTAGAATCCTTCAGGATGGGAAGCAGTAGATAAAGACCAAGACATTTTCCTGACAGCTCTGGACTTATTCTGTTGAACGGATTCGCCCCGAATCCTGCAGGCAACTGCAAAGATTGTTAAGATCGAAATTCAGGACTGGAACCATGCCAGGCAGGGACATTTGCCTGCACAGTAAATAAAATTAAATAAAAAAAAAGGCTAAATTATGTATATATATAAAACGAGGATCTGCCATTAATACCCCAAGCTTTTCAGCCCTTCCATTACTGTTCATTATGCTAAAGAAAGAAGCAGATGGGAGCTCGAGTCAGAGGTTTATATTTAGCAAGTGGTTCCACCAACGGGTAGATACAGCGAAATTGCCTTGAACCTAATCTTCAATGTAGGCCTGCTATAAAAGAATTTCATTAAGTGGACAGATGTGGCAGGTCGTCCCTCATACACCAGGTCTATCTTTACAATGAGTCACTGCCTGGTGTTCTTCACGCACAGAACATGGCCACAAAGGCCCTTTTACCTTTTTGATAAGTCATAAGGGTATTTTTAAGCAGATCTGCCAGCTGTAATTTAAAAACAAGGGAGGGAGCCCGTCTGATTTTATTATGAAGACATGGAAAATTCCTTAACAGGTATTTATACCCTGCTAGTGTTTTCCATCAGAGGCTCTGAAAGCATTTTACAGTCATGAATTTTCAGCTTTGTAGGGAGATGAGTGAATATGAGCCTCTGTTTACAGGCAGGTTAACTGAGCCACAGAGAGGGTAAAGACCTGGTTTGCACTAGACTCTCAGAACTGGAAGGGACCGCGAGAGGTCATCTAGTCCAGTCCCCTGCACTCATGGCAGGACTGAGTATTATCTAGACCATCCCTGACAGGTGTTTGTCTAACCTGCTCTTAAAAATCTCCAATGATGGAGATTTCACAACCTCCCTAGGCAATTTATTCCAGTGCTTAACCGCCCTGACAGTTAGGAAGTTTTTCCTAATGTCCAACATAAACCTCCCTTATTGCAATTTAAGCCCATTGCTTCTTGTCCTATCCTCAGAGGTTAAGAAAAAATACATTTTCTTTCTCCTCCTTGTACAACCTTTTACATACTTGAAAACTGTTACCATGTCCCCTCTCAGTCTTCTCTTTTCCAGACTAAACAAACCCAATTTTTCCAATCTTCCCTCCTAGGTCATGTTTTCTAGACCTTTAATCATTTTTGTTGCTCTTCTCTGGATTCTCTCCAGTTTGTCCACATCCTTTCTGAAATGTGTCCAGTTCTGGGTGCCACAATACTCCAGTTGAGGCCTAATCAGCGCGGAGTAGAGCAGAAGAATTACTTCTCGTGTCTTGCTTACAACAGTTCTGCTAATACATCCCAGAACGATGTTTGCTTTTTTTGCAACAGCGTTGCACTGGGGACTCATTTAGCTTGTGATCCCCTATGACCCCCAGATCCCTGCTGCAGTTCTCCTTCCCAGGCAGTCATTTCCCATTTTGTATGTGTGCAACTGATTGGTCCTTCTACATGGAAGGAAACTGGGCATGCATGACTCCAGATGAAGTCAAGGGGATCTGCAGCAGGGCAGTGCTACTACCCCGCATTGTACAGGTGGGGAAACTGAGGCACAGAGACAAAAGCAACTCCTTCAAGGTCACATGGGAAGTCTGTGACAGAGCAGGGACTGGAACATGCATCTCCTAGCTTGGGAGTTGGAGCGCCAACCACTGCACCATCTGCCCTAGTTCTGCACAGATACTCAGTCTGAAGGTCACACATCGGGCTGAATTCTCATTTCCACCAGAGCGATATAACCAGGCCTTAGTGCAATCAAGAATCAGTCCCCCTCCTTTTAGACTTGTGCTGATGACTTGCCAAGGTGGTGAGCACGGACACGAGCCAGGTCACAAAATAAGGCAGCGACACAACCCTCAAGATACTACAGCGAGGAGTACGCTGCAAGTACCCGAACAGAGCCGAGCCCCTAGGCTTCCAGACCTCTGCTCTAAACACTAGACCACAAAGAACGAGTCCTCTACAAAACTCACACCCCTAGGTGTGGCTATGTCCCTGCCCAGCTGATCTATGCGCACAGCCCCTGATTCAACATACAGCAGAGCTCTCGTGTGACCCAGCCATTGGCATCTCTGCAGGCCAAGACATCTTCTAGTGTCGCCTCCCTGCGATGGCTTTCTGGCCATGCGTAGCTGCACAGGCCAAGCCAGGAGTTACCCCTTGGAGTTTAGTGCTATGGTTACGCTCATAAACTGGGCATGTGTCCACATCTCTCGGACACTATGGTAAGATCTGCATATCTCAAAGACGCTGATCAGATGCGACGCGATGCCCCTCCCATGGGAATATGGGGCACTTCTTCATTAAGGCAATTCCAAAATAATAATAATAATTAAAAAAAAAATCAGCGGTTATTATTTTGCGGCATCCCAGGATAAAAAAAAAACACACAGGCCTGCCAGCACTCAGAACCCCCGCCAAGCGACACCCCCTGTGATACGTACAGAGCGCTCCCGATCTATCATTCAGGAGAGAACACGTGAAGCAGCGAGGCGGGCAGAGGAAGGGATGGAGACAAACCCGCCGGGTTGGAAGAAGCTGCAATCTGGCCCTAGAAGCTGGCCCCGCGCTACTAGATATCAGCGGAAACTAACGCTGCTGAACGGTTCTCGCCCTGGAGAAACGCTACTGGAGTCAGAACCGCTCCGGGCAAACCGCCCAAAGAGAAAAGCCTGCTTTCGTTGAACTTCATCGATAAGGCCTTGACCAATGACTAAGGCGCTGGGATGCAGGGGGATTCTGTCAAGCCCAAGCTTGAATTTCAAATCCGTTGCAGGCAGGGTGTTGAATTCCACACAAAAGGAGTACGACGCTGATCATTTACCAATGGAAGGAGCCTGGGCCAAGCCCATGTGCTGTCCCAGTGGAGGAAGGTCACATGGAGGAACAGATGTCCTGAAAGGTCCCAATTAAATTTTAAATGGGAACGCACCCTATTCAGAGCTAAGTTACCGCTCTCTCTGTGTGCGCTCAGGCCTAATCCAAGCGGACGCTTTAATGTTTAAATAGCTCCAGGCTCTACAGAGGAGCTGTTGCTACAACACTAATGCGGCTAATGTTGCAAATGTTTTAAAAGGGCAGGGTGCTGGAGAAACCCGACCCAGCGCTTTGCCAGCAAGGGCGAGCGCAGGGATGGCAGAGCACATCTTAAAGCTGCTGCAAAATGACATTTGCTGCGAACAGACTGTGCAGGAGACAGGGATACTCGGGGCTCAATCCTGTGCAGCAGCCGGCTCCTTCAATGCCTGTTAACACTCAGCCTCTCTTAGGAGCACTAAGTACTTCACAGGATCAGGCCCCGTGGCCCCTGGATTCAAACCCTGTTGAAGCGGAGAGGGGTCCTATTGATTTCAACAGGCTTTGCATCAGGCCTTAAAGGATAGATTTCTAGGAGCCTAGCTCCCACTAAAGTTAGATTTTATCTGCCTTTTAGTATCATTAAGGCCCGAGGGCCTCCAGGTTGGTAATATTCTAGCAAACAACCCCCCTGTTCCTTGTCGAATCACGGGCATTTCATTCATTTGCAAGGATGGACTCGATTAGTGGAACTTGTCACATTTTTGAAGTGTAATTTACTGACATGGAATTCCTTGGAATGCATGCTCCACTGCCTCACACACACACACACACACACACACACACACACACAACTATACTTCGCTCACTTTGTGTATATATCCATACATGCAAAGTGTGTGTGTGTGTGTGTGTGTGTGTACACACTCCCCTCCCCCCCAGCTCCGCTCAGCCAGATG